CACACAGACACACACACACACACACACACACGGGACCACCCACACACACACACACACGCACACACACACACACACACACGGGGGACCGCCCACACACCCTCAGGGCGCCCAGGGCCTCCCGCGGCAGAGCCAGCTGAGCCGGGCGCAGGGGCAGGACGGGTTGCAGGGCACAGAACCTCGGCCCGGGGACGTGGCAACTCTGGAGGGGGCAGGGCTCACTCGTTGAAGCAGTGGGCGGCAGACACCAGCCACCTGGCCCCGATGACGGTGGCTCCGCAGAAATGCTCCTTGTCCTCGCGCAGGCTGGCTTGCCAGGGGAACTCCCCTGGGGCGGCCTCCACGCCGCCCACGATCCTGCCCGCTGACCTCCAGCCCGGCTGCAGCCCGCAGTCTGCAAGACACAGGCGGCCACGCGGGCCAGCGCCCGTCACTCCTGTGGCCCGAGCCCAGGACGCGGTGTCCCCCCTGCACAGGGCACAGGCCCTTGGAGGGAAGTGTCGGGTGGGTCCCCACGGCCGGCACTGCTCGGTGCCTTCTGTCGGTGCCAGGAGTGGGGACAGGTGGGACCCTCCGCCACCTGCCCGCCCAGCGCTGCGTGTGACCGGCACCGCCCTGTGGCCCCCAGGTCCCGCCCTGGTGGGACCCGGAGCCCAGCGCCTGCGAGTGTGGCCGCATTGGCAAATGGGGTCAGTGCGGGTGGGGCCAGAGAGGCCGCCCGGTCCTTACAGAAAGGGCACCAGGGGGACAGGGGCAGGGGAGGGGCCTCGGAGCCAGGCCTGCCCCTGGACCTCCCCTGGATGGCCGCCTGCAGACTGCGGCCCACGCCCCCCCACGCCACGACCCGCCGGGCAGGCCTGGCCTCTGTGAGTGGCCAGCAGAAGCCCTGGACTCCAGGGCCAGACGACGGCCCTCGCTGCAGCTTTGGTGTGCGTGGACACTCGTCACAGGCTCAGGAGGTGCCGCTGGCCGGCTGGGCGCTCCCACTGCCGCCCCGGCCCCGCCTTCCCGTCGCTGTGGGGAGGGCCACGGCAGCTTCCTGGGTCCCCTGTGGCTGCAGGACCTTCTGGGGCTCACGGAACCTGAGGGGCCTCGGGGCCCCCCACCGTGGCCAGCGGCACCCAGCACAGGGTCCGCAGCTGCCACGGCTGAGGGCCGTTCCCATGACCGCTGCCCCACCACCGGGCAGCCTCGGGCCCTCCTCTCAGGAGCTCCACGGGGACCAAGAGTTTGTTTTGTTTGGGTCCCAGGAACTGACCTCAGGGCCACTCAGCCACCAGGCCACCCAGCCCTAGGTGGCACTCTATTAGAGACAGGGTCTCTCTGGCTGCTTGGCGCCTCGCTGTGGCTGAGGCTGGCTCTGAACTGCCATCCTCCGGCCTCAGCCTCCCCAGCCGCTGGGGTGACAGGAGTGGCCACTGGGTCCAGCTCACAGGGTCCAGGGTTTTAAAAAAAATTATGGAGGGGTCAGAAAGGAGCCCAGGGCCTCACACACGCTGGCAGGTGCCCTGCTCGGAGCCGGCCCAGGGCCACTGTCACTGTCCTCACCAAACGCCTGAAGTCCTTCCAGGCTGACGCGTCCTGGGCCCCACATCGGGCACCCGGGAGAGTCCCCCCCGCCTGGTGTCAAAACCCGGGACCACGCTGCTCTGGCCGTGCCACCAAGGTGTCGAGACACAGGGCAGGGCTCTGTGTCGACCCCGTCCCTTCCCCAGGCCACGTCTCGTCATCTGTAGGCAGATGCCCACGCGGCCACCTGCAGCAGGAGCTCGGTTGGGCCTCAGGCCACGGTGACGGTGACAAGCGAGGCCTGTCGCACCTCCCTGGCAACCCTGGCCCCGCGACCCCAGGGCAGCCCCGGGCAGTGTCCCTGTCCCCTCTCTTACCTTTCTCCAGGGGCTACATTTGCTAGGAAAGTGTCGGGAAACGCGGGAGGCCAGCTGCTGGCCTTCAGGCTCCGACAGTCTGTCCAGGACCCCCCGGGCCTGGGCCCCCTCCCTCCCTTGCTGGGTGCCCCTGTGCCATGTGCGCTGTGGACGCCGAGTCGGCCGTGGGCCCTGCGAAGGGGACGTGCCCTGGAGCCCGGCCGGACTGACCACAGTGCGCCTCGTCGGACCCGTCCGCGCAGTCCACCCTGTCGTCACACTCGGGGTTCACCGTGTCCACACACTGCTGGTTCTGGCAGGAGAAGGAGCTCCCCGGGCAGTGGCCTGAGGGCAGAGAAGGACCCAGTTCCCAGCCTCGCCCAGAGCTGGCCAGCTGGGGCCGCCACCGAGGAGACACCTCTTGGCTCTCGGCCTCCCTGGACAGCCAGTGACCCTCTTAGAATGAGAATAGGGAAGTGACCGGCAGTGTCAGTCCCCTCCCCCAGACGCTATTTCTCGTTGGTAATTTTTGTGGTCTCCGTCACAGGCGTCCTGAGTGCCGGCCACCGGGCCGGGGGCAGTACCAACGGCCAGCTGCCTCCTCATGGGCAGGAGGGCCCTGGGCAGGCGGCCCTGGCCTCAGCAAGGGCGTGGCCAGGAGGTGACATGGCTGAGGTGGCTGCTGGCCACGGTGACGTGGTGAATGCCAGGCTGGCCAGCCGCGGCCCGTGGGGCTGAGACCACGGGTCAGCAACAAATCCCCCCAGGGCCGAGGGGGAGAGCAGAGCTGAGCCGGCTCCGGAGCCCAGGTCCCCCGTGGGGGGTCAGGACAGCCAGGCGCTGGGCATAGCCCACACCTCTGTGGGCCAGGCCAGGGGGGCGCAGGCGCACCCCAGAAACCACAGCCTCCACCTGAGCTTGCTGAGCTGTCACGTCCGCCCGTGGACCAGGCCCACGGCGGGACTCGCCACAGGGGCTGCTCCCGCACATCCAGGGCCACCACCCTGGGCTCTGCGGCCGGCCGTGGTCCTTCCCTGGGGTGTGTCCTGCCCCGCCACACCCGGCCAGGACACCCCAGACGTGAGGCCATGGTGTCCCCAGTATGGCGCAGCCTCCCTGGGGGCGAGCCACCTGGTGAGACCCCTGGGTCAGGGGTCCCTGGACCCCCAGAAGCCCCGGGCCCCGCGACCACCAGCCCCTGAGGCCCAGTGCTGGGTGGGCAGGGCCCGGGTGCGCCTGGCCTGGGGCCAGCAGGCGGGTGTCCTCAGGGTTTCCACACCTGGGCGCTGCGACCCAGAGCGGGCCCCCTCGGGGGTGTCCTGGGCCCTGCAGGGTGCTGGGCAGGGCCCCTGCTCTCCACCTCTCTGGCAGGAGCCCCCCGGTGCTGACGGTCCCCAGGGTCTGCCCGGCCCCCAGGGAGGACGCACCTGGGCAGGGGCGGAGGCCGGGAGGCCACGTGGCCACGTGGGGAGCTTCCCGACACGGCCCCTCTTTAAACTGGTCCTGCGTGTGGACACCCCCGCATGGCCAGCGCAGCACGCCCGGTCCTCGGGGCCTCTGCAGCCTCCCGCTGGAGCCGCCCAGGACTGGAGCCGCTGTGGGCTCGTAGGGGCTGACCGTGGCGCCTACCTGACTTTAAGTCTCTTTCGGTGGCGGTCCCCGGTCCCCCGCGGCTGCCTAGGAAGAGCAGAGGACAGGCGCTGGCTGGGCCGCGGGCTCCCTCAGTGGCCCTGCGCGGTGGCCGAGGGCCAGGGAGCTGCCCCTCCAGCCTGCCCCCTGCCACGCGCGCCTGACCATGGCTCCTGGTCCGGGAGCGGAGGGCGTGTCTTCCGATGTCGGAGTCACCGCGGGTTGTCATGCTCACTGTCCCTGGTAACCCTGCCCTTGTGGCCTCTTTTGGATGGAACTTTCCAAGAACGAGGGTCCCCCCCCACCGCGCTCTCCGGGCCCCTCGGAGCCTGAGGCCAGGGCGGAGGAGCCGCCTGCGGCTGGGCCAGGCCGTCTGTGTCTTCTCTGGTGTCCCTGGGACTCACACCAGTGACCTGAGGTCAGCTGCCCTCTCGGGTCAGGGGCAGCAGCCGTGCCCAGCCGCCGCCTGGGACCTCTTGTCAACAGCCCCTAGCGCTGGCCGCTGCCTTATGGATGGGGCAGAGGGGACATTCCTGTCACCGAGGAGAGTCCTGATGGATGGTGCTGCAGTGCGGCCACTCCAGCCTGGGCAGCGCGTTAGGATGGCCGGAGGGGACCGTGAAGGTCCTGGACAGCAACTGACAAATCTGACCTTCAGCAGCCAGAATGGCTCCCAGTCCACTCTCCAGAGAGACCGTCCCCACCCTGTGGCTTTCCAGCGCGGCGTCTGCCCCGATTTCTGTGGCCAGGGTGGGACGCTAGGACCGCCACCCAGAGGCCCCGCCCCCACTCGTGATGGTCAATAAAGTTTTATTGACACCCGGCCACGCCCATCCTTGTTTTGTGCAGTAGCCTCCTTCTCCCTGGGAGGCATGGTCCCAGAGCACAGTGGACGCCTGGAGCCAGATGACAGGTATGTAGGAGGCCTTCCCCACGCGCTCACCCCTCCGGCTCAGCCTAGGGCTCAGCCTGCACCTGCCAGGCCCTGGGGTCACCCAGCTCCACAAAAGGCAGGTCACAAAACGGAACAAGGACACCCAGCGTAGTGACGCACACCTACGCGTCCTGGTGGGAGTCCCAGCGGCTCGGGAGGCCGAGGCAGGAGGCTGGCAAGTTCCAGGCCAGCCTCAGCAACTCAGTGAGGTGCTGAGCAGCTTAGCCCGACCCTGTCTCTAAATAAAGAAAACGGGGCAGGGGTGTGCCCGGCAGTCCATCCTGGGCCCTTCCTGGGCCACACACATGGGAAGGAGCGCTGCAGTCTCACCCTGCGGGGGACGGGCCAGCACCTGGGCTCTAGCTTCCCTTGTGTAGGAAGAGCAGGTCTCGTGCTGCCGGAGGGTCAGACTCCTGGGCCCAAGCAACCCTCTGGCCTCCGCCTCCCGGGTGGCGGGTGACAGGTGTGCACAGCCGGGCCCCACATGATGGCAGGCACCGCGACCCCTCGGCGGTCAGCCCGAAGACCACGGTGGCTACTCCAGGGCAGCCCGGTGGGCAGCACCTAAGTGTGGACCCTCTGGACGCAGAGGGGACTGACCGGGTGGGTCAGAGTCCCTCGGTGCTCGCAGGACAAACCTGAGGCCTGCCGCTGCTGCATCTGGAGTGTCCGTTCAACCTGGGGTGACCACGGGCAGCAGAGGCGTGGGCAGGGGAGCCATGGCTCTGACCCCAGCACAGCTGGCCGGTGGCCCAGCTGGCCGGTGGCCCCGCTGGCCGGAGAGCGGCTGGTCCCCAGCTCCACTCACCCGTGAGCTCCGCCGACAGGATGGTGCCGTAGGCGGCCAGGGGGACCCCGCGTCCCCGCAGGCTGGCCCGCAGGCCGCGCCGCAGCAGCTCCTCCTCCAGGTCCAGGCCGGGTGGCCGGAGCGCGCGCAGGAAGTGCAGCCGGAAGCGCACCAGGACGCTGGCGTTCCCGTCCCTGGCGGGGGACAGGCCCTGAGGGGTCTCCGGCTGTCCACCCAGGCCCTTCCCCTCGGAGGAGGACTCACCGGTAGCTGAGCACCGTGCAGCCCGTGCAGACGGCCTCCAGCTCCGTCCCCCGGAAGCTGCTCACGAACTGCAGAGAGGGGGGCCACAGGTGAGGCCCAGCAAGGAGGACGGGGTGGGCCCAGGCCCGGCCCCTCCCCGCAGGGACGGCCAGGCAGCAAGCCTCGCCCCGAAGCTCAGGGGGCCGCCAGGCCAGGGAGCCGTGACCAGGACAGCGCAGGGAGGACCTGCCGGTCAGTCTCTCTCGTCAGCAGAGGCCAGAGAGCCCTGGGCAGCCGTACTCCAGGCTGTCACCCGGCCACGCAGGGAGCACTCTGGGCACATGACCCAGAGGGTCACCAGCAGGGACCCAGACAGCTGGTTCTCCCAGGCCCCAGTGTCGCCAGCCACCGAGTGGAGGTGCAGACAGGACAAGTGTCCCCTGAAAATGAAGGGCGCACAGCGCCGTCCGTCCTCCTGCGGTGTCCTCGGCCAGAGCAGGCGGGAGGTGACGTGGGACCTGCCGGCCTGGCACTTGGCGAGAGCAGCGGCCGGCGCAGGGGGACCCTGAATCCCGCCCTGGACATTCCTGTGCGGATTCTGCCTGTGCGCCCGGGCAGGGCGAGCCCGAGTGGGCAGTGAGTCCCTGGCCCCCGAGCTGCCCCTGGGCGGCCGAGTCCAGGGACCTTCCTGGGGGCTAGAGGTGGAGGACCTGCAGCCTCTCCCGCTGCCCCTGCCGGGCTCAGTGGCTCAGACTCCTCCACCTGGGGATCCACCTCGCCCACCCGGGGCACAGCACCTGGCCTCCATCCCGCCCAGCCCCAGCCTCCCTGGGGCCTCCCTGCCTCCCTCCCGCCCTCACCAGGGCCTGCAGTGCGGGCGTGAGCGTGCGGTAGTAGTCGGAGTCCTCCTGCAGCAGGGAGCTGGCGTAGCGGATGCCCCGCAGCTCGGCGCTGTGCTCCACCTGGACGTCCTGCGTGGAGAGGAGGGCTGCGGCAGACCAGAGCCCGTGAGAGCCGCCCACGGCCAGGCCCTCAGGTCCCCGGAGGCCCTGGGCACAGGGCAAGGCCCAACCCCTGGACACGGCCCCGGGAAAGTTCCCAGGAGACTGCACGAGTCCCCACCGCCTCCTGGGGGCCTGAGCCGGCCACTGTCCCCGGGAGCCTCCAGCAGCACCTGGGCCCTACCCGTGGGAGTCACCGGGCCCACAGAGCAGGAGGGGACAAGAAGGACGACACTTGAAAACAAGGCCCGGCACCAGAGGCCGGGAGGCACGTCCCGTGGGGACTGGGGCCTCCACAGGAGCCTGGCCGGTCACAGCCGCAACCACGGGACRGCGTGGCGTCCCCTCTGCCCGCCCCCTGTCTCAGGGGCTCCTGGGGCGTCTGGCCCTGGCAGCCACAGGGAGGGGGCTCGCCCCGCGGGCAGCGCGGACAGGCCAACCCGCTGAGCCGTGACCCCCGTGACCCAGGCTCGGGAAGGTGCAGAAGTGACCCCGAGGGTCCCGGTCCTCGGCTGGGCTCATCCCGCCCCCCAGGGCTCCTGAGCCGTCTGGGAGGGGCCAAGGAGACCGTGTCAAGTGTCCAGTGTCCCCCGTGAGCGTCCAGGAAGGGCCGGGAGCGACCCAGGGACTGCGGCCCAAAGCGCAGCTGCCTCTTGGGCGCAGGTGAGGAACTCTCTCCCTGAATGCACACCCCTGCACATGTGTGCACACCCACACCTTGCACACGCGTTCACACACACACACACACACACACGCACGCACCACACAGGGTCCAGAGTGTGCTGCACTTGGCACTGTGGCCAGTAGGGGGCCTCTGTGGGACGCCGGGGAGGGGGTGTCCCACGCTGGGGCTGGAGCCAGGCGCTGACCACTGAGCCACCTCCCAGCCCTCTGAGGCTTATTTGGAGACAGGGTCTTGCTGAGTTGTCAGGGGCCTTCCTAAGTCACTGAGCCTCGAACTTGGGATCCTCCTGCCTCAGCCTCCAAAACCACAGGGATGGCAGGTGTAGCTGCTGCCCCCAGTTCAGACAGACATTTTTTAAAATATTGTCAGTGGAGGGACAGGCCCAGGGTCACGGTGGCAAGTCACCATCCTGCTATGCCAGAGAAGTTTCCCAAACTGCTGTTGGTCTTCATCGACGTACGGAAGAAACACAACGGTCTCACCTCCACGCCACCCAGACCTCATCCCGCACCGGCCACACGCCGCCGCCTTCCGACAGAATGTCCCAGATCTCCCTGTCCAGTGGTGGCCCCCTGAGCCACAGGCTGCCCCGGGCAGCAGGACGTGGCTGGAGGGACTGGGGACTACATCTTGGGTACACTGTCACTCCCACCAGGCAGCCCGTGCCGCACCTGGGCCTGGCACACGTGGGGACGTTCCCGCGAGCTCTCTGCTCCGGCTCCAAGTACTGCCCCTCAGGGTCCCCAGGACAGGCAGGGTGAGAGCCACCAGCAGGGGAAGGCGTGGCCCAGGTCACCCCCGCCCAGGTCCCTCCAGCTTTGAGCCTGGTGTCTGGTGGACCACCCTATTGGGACCTGTTGGCGCCTCCCCACCTCACCCCCCTGGGAGACCCCCCCATCGGCCCGGAGAGGAGCCCGGTGCTGCCCTGAGCGGTCCTCAGAGCGCCCCTGACTGGCCCAAGGGTCAGCCTCCACCCACGCTGGGCGGCTCATCCTCGATCCTGCGGTGGGCCCAGGTCTCCCTGGAGCCGGTGCGGGGCTCCCTGAGGGTCCCTGGCTCTGTGAGCCAGGCCAGCCCCCGCCACTCACCCGGAAGGGCTCCCAGGGCGACAGCAAGCAGGCTGGTGGCCGCCACTGCGGCGATCGCGGCTCGGCAGCCCGCGGAGTCCCGAGCCCGCGCGTCCTCCGCTGCCCCGGGCACCAGCTGCAAGTCAGCCGCAGGCTCCATGGCAAAGACGGGCGGGCGGGCGCGACCTGGATGCCGTAGGAAGAGACCCCGTCAGAGCTCAGTCACTTCCCTCTCGGAGCAAGGGCTGGCTGCCCGGCTGCCCGCTGGTGGCCCCCGCCCAGGGCAGCCAGGGTCCCCAGGGGGGAGGGCCTGTGTGTTTCCTGCAGGACCTCAGTGGCTCTGAGGGACACAGATTGGCCATCTCACGGTCAGACGCGAGGAGTCTGAAACAGTCTGCACCCCCCCGAGGCCCAGGGCCGTCCCGTCCCCTCCTCAGCTCCAGGGCCAGCAGCCCAGCGTCCCCCGGCTCCCTGACTCTCACCCTCCTGCCTCCTCCCGTGAGGACCCTGAGGTGACCCTGGGTGACCCAGCTCTGGGCCTCCCCTGCTCCCACCTCAGAGCCCTCTGCCCCCGGAGGGGCCACGTCACAGGCCCTGGGAGGAGCTGGGGGACCTCAGCCTGTCACAGGAGGATGAGCTGACTCAAGGAGAGCGGCCTCCTCGGCCTGGGCACATGGGTCCCTGTGCCCTGAACTCTCCCTTGATGGCACCCGGGCTGTGTGAGCACCCTTGCTGTGCCTGGTCCTCTGAGGGCCACAGCACCCACGGTGACCGAGTCATTCCTGCCGTACAAGTCCAGCCCGGGATGCTGGCAGGGGCTCCAGCCCTGTCTTTGGAAGGGAGGCTCAGAGGGGAGGCTCAGGGAAGAGAGGCTCAGGGAAGGGAGGCCTGGGGAAGGGAGGCCCGGGGAAGGATTTGTGGCCAGACTCCGTCCCTGAACCAGTGACGCCCATGGCTCTGTGTTCAGAGTGGACTCTGCATCCAGCACCTGGCCTGCAGCCACCTCTGCAGACAGCCCTGTGTCCCCAGAGGGTCCCCTCCTCCCTCTGTCCCTGCGGTGGCTCCCGACAGTGGCACTTGGGGCACGCCATCCCACCTTTCTGAGAGTCCCCGGGGACCAAGATCCAGCGTCCTCCTCATCCATCTCCCTGCGTCCCCTTTGTCCCCAACGCCCCTTGTCCCTGGGTCCCCTCCACTCGCCCCCCCCCAGCCTTCTTGGCTGGAGGCAGACTCCCCGGCCACCCTCAGTCCTGCGCCTTCTCCCGCCCCAGTCACCGCCCCTACCAGCCGCTCCCGGCCACCGCGGCTCCCCCCGCCCGTCTCCGCGGCCCCCATGGCCCAGCGACCGGCCCTCGGGTGGGAGGAAGGAGCCGGTTCTCGCAGGCTGTGGCTTCCACGGGGAGCGTCTGGCCACCAGCCTGGGCGCGAGCCAGCTGGGACGGGACCTGGGCTTGCCGGCCACACCGAGGGTTCTGATGAGGCGGCCAGTCTGCGGCCACAGCCAGGGCCAGCACCTCTGCGTGGAGGACGGGGTGAGCCCCTCCCCTCCGAGGCCACGCAGGGGTCAGGAAGCCGTGTGGCATGCTGCCCAGGGGCCTCCACCACAGCCAGAGAGGAACCGAGCCTCAGTCCACCGACCCCCAGGAGCCTCCAATGACCCCACAGAGGACCTGACGCAGGGCTGGGCTCAGCCAGATGCCCGCCCCCAGAGACCGGGACGTCGAGGTGAGTGTCGCTCTGGGGCCCGGACCTGTGCTTTCCCCGACCCCTGTCGGCGCACGCCGGCCCTCCTTCCCTTGTCTTCATTCAGCCCTGGGGCGACCCCAGGGGAGCGCTACACCCGAGACCCCCCCCCTTCCATTTTTACTTTTTATTTGAGACAGAGTCTTGCTAAGTTGCTGAGGCTGGCCTCTCAAACTTCCCATCCTCCTGCCTCAGCCTCCTGAGTCACTGGGATGACCGGCGTGACCCCTCCATCTGGTGTCTTTTTTTGTTTTAAAGAATCAGGGCGGGGCTGGGGCTCAGGGGCAGGGTTTTTAGAGAATGAAGGACCGGAGCCATCCCAAGAGTCCTGCTTTCTAAACCCTTTCTCTCAGTTCCAGATACTCAGAGGCGGGGATTCGCCTGAGCCAGGAGCTGCAGACCGGCCACACAGACCCTGACCAAAGGCAAGGAAAGGAGCGATGCGGGGTGGCCCAGTGGTCAGCGCCTGGCCAGCCGGCACCAGGCCTGGGCGCCACCCCGCCCTGAGAACAAAGGAGAGAAAAGAAAATCTTCAGGCAGGGGTGGCCTTCAGTGGGCAGGCGGGCGGGGAGGACCAGAGAGGCCCCGAGGGTCAGCATGGCAGCCCTGGCCTCCAGCTCCCCCCGTGCCCAGTGCTCCCTGCTGGCCAGGCCTCTGTGCGGAGCCCTGGGTCTGCTGGGCGGGTCGGGGAGCCTGGGACGTGGCCTCGCCAGTGTTGGACGCCCCGTCCTCGTCCACGCACCAGACCCTGCCCACCTGTGTCCCTCGCCCAGAGAGTCCCTGTCCAGCACGAGGGTGAGGCCTGTGGGTGGGACCCAGTGCCTGCCCCAGCTGGCCCTGCCCGTGGTGGGACAGTCCTCTCCTGGCCTGCATGTGACACCCCAGAACCCAGGGAACAAGCCCATTCTGCTTCCCCGATGGGACCCACAGAGGCGCCCCGGGTAGGCTGCCGCGGAGGCCGCGGCCCCTGGGTGGCCTGGCACCCGTCGAAGCCGCCCCCCGCGAACTCCAAAGCAGACGAGCTTTACACCTGCGGCCCTGGACGGTGAATCCGTGTGTCCATCCTGTGAGTCGGGGGCCCAGCTGCGTGGTCAGAAAACATTCTAGGTGTCCTGCCAAGGTCCTAAGACACGACGGGCACCAGGCGCCGCGGACCTCTACTCAACGCAGCGAGAGCCCTGGTTCCGTCCCTGGTACCCAAAATGGCCAACTCTGTCCGGGGGCTCTGGGCAGCGGGCCCGCCCTGCACAGCCCAGGCCCGCAGCCCACAGGCCGCAGGAGCCTGGCCCCTCCCCCATCGGCAACCGCGGGTGGCTGGAATCTCGGAACACGTCCCCGAGCCGCCCAGGGTGACACATCCTCACGGGGTGGGCACTGCACGAGGCGTGAGTGTCCAGTTGGCATTCGTGGGGCTGCTGGGGGTGACCCACAGACGCTGAGGCGCGGTGGGGGGCTGTCCCTTCGGTAGCTCTGCGTCTGGGGGACCTGGTCCCGGGGTGGACGTGAGGGCGTGTCTGTGTCTGTGCCACGTGGGGCCAGCCCACGGGAGGCGCAGTCGCTGTGCCGGCTGATCCCCTGAGTCCAGGCCCCTGTGGACACTTCGTGTTCACCGTAACGCTGGTGACTGGCTCTGGGGACCAGCCTCAGGATCCTGTCCTCAGGGGAGCGTGTCCTGCTGAGAGCCGCCAGGGCCTCCAGGGCAGGGAGATGGGGCCGCCCTGGCCTTCACCTCACCCTGGAGGAGGCCCTCACAGGAGCCGGTCTCCGAGGAGCCTGGGGGGGGCTGTTTTAGGGACAAAGGGCCCCAGGATCCCCGGGGGTGGAGGCTGGGAGCTCGAGTTCCCGGGGCGCTCACCGCCACCCGACGCTGCGCTCCCCGCCCGGGCGCTCTGAGGACGCCTGTGTCCTCTGGACTGTCCGTCGTCACCTCGCTGGCCACAGAATGGACGCCGCTCCCATTCAGCAGGGAACAGACGCGCCATTGATTCAGCCGCCCCCGTGGGTAATCGCGCCCGGGTTGTGGGGGACGCCGCCCCCGGCGGGCAGCGGGCAGGCGAGCCGCACAGTGGCCCAGGGAGAGCCCCCGCCTCACCTGTGCGCAGAGCCCTGACCTGGGCGGGGAAGGGAGCCGAGACTGTGGGCGCCTGGGAGGGGCGTCCCCACCGGGCCCCCTCCCTCCCTCCCTCCCTCTTCTTTTCTTTGGGGACAGATGTTTCCTGAGTGGCCCAGGCTGGCTTCACACCTGCAGTCCTCCTGCCTCGGCCCCCTGAGCCGCCCCGCACCCAGCTGGGCCAGGGATTTTTAACAGGGCGACGCTGTCCCCCGGGCCTGAGCCACACTGGGGCCGTATGGGGTGTCACGATGGGGGCCCGGCCTGCAGAGGTGGAGGCGGGGACGCTGCCCACCACCCTCAGCCGGGAACGCACCCGGGAGCCACGGCCCTGCGTCTCTGGGGGACGTTTCACTACTGCCCGTCCAGCCCGAAAGGAGAAAGAAAGACACGGGGCAGGGAGGGGGCGAGGGCTCTAGAAGGTTCCGGGGCGCTGGGCTGCTGGGCTGCGCTGGGCCCCGTGTCTCTGGGCCAGCTGGGGAGGGGTGAGCCCAGGAGGAGCCAGGGCGGGCAGGACGCACACCACCTCCTGGGTCAGCGCCCGGGACGGGCTTCGCGGCTAGAGGACACTCAGTTTTGCATAAACCTAGAAGGCTCCTGCCCACGGCTCCTGACCAGCCCGCCCACACCAGGTGACCCACAGCCCAGGGTGCCCAGGACGACCGTCTGCCCGGAGGTGCCTGCCTCAGAAAGCCCCTGAGGGCCAGCAGGCGGCTCAGGGCCGAGGGCAGGGCAGTGTGCGGCCAGCGACCCAGGGCACCAGGTTCCCACAAATCAGTGAACCAAATCGTCGCGTCACCTCCAGCTGGAACTGGGGGAAGGAAAGAAGCCCTTGACTCCTGACGGTCATGCCTGGACACAGTCCATCCGGAATCACACGTTCCCAGCGTCCACGCCTCTGTGCGCCTGGCCGCCCAAGCCCATGGTGCCCTCTCCTCCGCCCCTCCACCCTGTCCGTCACCAAGGCCGGCAGCCACAGGGTTTCTGGGGCTGGGGTCAGCAGACATCTCTGCCAAGGGTGACCATCTTCAGCTCTGGTCACAGGGTTTCCACAAGACTCTGACCTCATGGGTAGGACACCAGCAGCCCAGCCAATGTGCCACCAAGTGGGCATGCAGCGTTCCCACCAGGCTTCCTCGTGAAAGTTGGCAGCTGCCAGGCACCAGCACGCACACCTGCCATCCCAGCCACCGGAGAGGCTGACACATGAGGATCACCAGCCCGGCCTCAGCAACTTAGCAAGACCCTGAGCCACTCAAAGTGTTAAGAGGGCTGTGGAGGTGGCTCCGAGGGTTCAGTCCCCAGGA